TCACCACCCATTTATCCCTCCACCTTTCAATTAGCACCACATGTGATTATCGGCCAGGCGGGCACAATTAACTAACTCAGTGAGCATCCTCAATGAATTGGCGCCCCAACAGAGGAGCCAGTGGGCACACATTTCTGTACGTTCCCATGACTCCCTGTGAGTTTCTGGGCCCATTGTAACAGAAACGCCTGTAGCGGTTCCTTGCAGGGGTGCAGGATGTGATTCGTGAAGGTGGGAGTCGGTGTGTTAGTGCCCATGATGCCACTCGCAAACAGAACATCACCAGAGCTTGAAAGTGAGGAGCTGCCCTCTGGGTGAAGCGCGCTGGGTTGGCTCAGGAGATGCATGAGAAAGGAAGGGCTGTCAGGGTCTCTGAGTCTGCACTGGAGGAAGCCAGGAAAGCTCCCTCTCGGGTAGCTGGGGACTGGGTCACTGAGCTGGGCCTGGGTTGCTGGGTTGTGGCTGGGTCTCTGAGCTGGGACTGGGTCACTGAGCTGGGGCTGGGTCACTGAGCTGGGACTGCGTCACTGAGCTGGGGGGGTCTGGTGACCCTGTAGGACAGGGAGAACTTCCCGGTGGGTTTCTGAGACTGCGGCTCTTTAAGAGTAAAGAGGCCCTGCCTGTCTCTCAAGGAGCAGCTGGTGGATTCTAACTGCTGACCTTGCAGTGAGCAGCTTAAGCTGGGGTTTGGTCCAGGAAAAAGACCAGAGGAAGCTAACACATGAGGATGACCAGGCGCCTGCCTCTGAGGGACTCCCAACCCACGGCTGGGGGCTCCCCTCCCGAGGGCTTCAGGGAGGAGGATGGTTTTAAATGGTGCTGAAAAGCCAGCTGGGACTTGGGTTCGGATGTCTGGCAACTGTACAGACAGTGAGATGATGCAACTCCAAGGCCAGGTGCTGCCCCAATGGGGACTTGGGATGAAGGGACCAGAGGCCCCTGTCTGTAGTCACCACCCACCTGCCTGTCCTCTCCTGACCACCACCCCACCACCACCCCTCCGCCCCAGAAGAGCAAAGGCTCTTCTCCCTGCTGAGCGGAGCTGGGCGGATGCTGGCCACGCCTCAGGGCCCAGTCACCAGACTGACTGCACAGCCACCTCCCCAGAGCCTGCTGTCCTGGCACCGGCCAGGGCAGGTCTGTGCCTAGACCAAACACGCCAGCTTCCTGCAGGAAGATCCGGGGCAGGACTTCCACGTAGCCTGTCCTAGCCCTATCCTTTCTGTTCCTGGCCGACCGTGCCAGGCCTGGTGCTGGCCACCAGGAGGCACCGTGACCGAGCGTCAGCCGCGCCCGCCCAGGACACAGCCCCGCAGATCCGGCTTTGGTAAGGCCCAGGTACAGCTGGCAGGACAGAGGGACTCTGGGGGAGAAACGGAGCAGGGGCAGGGGAAGAGGGAGGGGCAGGGGAAAGAAGCAGGAGGGAGGGAGGAGGGAGGGATGTGGCCATTGCCCCGCCTCTCCAGCCACCCCACCCCTCAGCCCAATCCTTCCCTGGTGGCCCAGTCCCAGAAGAAGGCCTTGGCCTCGCCCAGGTGGGAGGGTCCAAGCGGCGGCCATAGGTAGGAGAGACTTCCGGGCCCCACCTCGCCTCTTTCCCCAGCTGATCACGACCAATCCTGGAAGCCCCGCGGAGTGCCGCCAATCCCAGGTGACCGCGAGCCGGC